GTGAAGGTGGATTTGGAAGGGTTTACAAGGGTACATTTCAAGCCACTGGACAGGTGATCGATCATTCATATTAATAGCCTCTCATCTTTTGGCAAAAAAGTTAATGTTTAGCTATTATAGAGATCTAGTGTAGGGTCTAAATCTCATAACTAAAATGTCAGTTCGACCAAACTCTTATTCTTTTGGTTTTAAAAGTTAGTAAACTTGAATTTCTAAATATCAATGATTGAAATCTAATGGGAATGCAGGTTGTTGCCGTGAAGCAGCTTGACCGGAATAGTTTGCAAGAAAGTACTGATTTTGTAACAGAAGTTTCTTCATGGAGTAAAATACACCATCAAAATTTGGTTAATTTGATCGGATACTGTGCTGATGGAGATCAAAGGCTTTTGGTGTATGAATTCATGCCCGGAGGTTCTCTGGAAGATCACCTCTGCGGTATTACATTAATTAACCATCTTCTTCAGTTAACAATGTTAATGCTATTTTTCTATTTAAACTAATGTTGATATCAATGACAGATGTATCACCAAAAAAAAAGTCAATGGATTGGGTGACTAGAATGAAAATTGCATTCGGAGCAGCTCAAGCTCTAGAATACTTGCATGACCAGGTTAATCCTTCGATTATATATCGGGATCTAAAATCCTCAAATGTCTTGTTAGATGAAGAAATGAATCCAAAGCTCTGTCATTTTGGATTGTCAAAGCTCTTTGGAGATAAGATGCCTATGCAAGTGATGGAGACATATGGATTTTGTGCGCCAGAGTATTCAAGATCAGATCAGCTAACTGCCAAAGCAGATGTGTATAGTTTTGGAGTTATTTTACTTGAACTCATCACGGGTCGAAGAGCTTTGGATACTACCAAACCGATTGATGAACAAAACCTGGTTGCTTGGGTAAGTAAAAAGCCAGTGGTACTTTATTGGGATTCCCTCATTTTCTTTTCATGGTTTTTTTTTTTTTCTTTTTTTTTTTTTCTTTTTTTTCTTTTGGGTTGTTTATATCTATGTTATTATTACAAATTGATTGGTGGGACAGGCAACACCTATCTTCAAGGACCCCAAAAAGTATCCAGATATGGCAGATCCTTTTCTTAAAAAGAGATTTCCTGAAAGAGGTTTAAATCAAGCTGTTGCAATAGCAGCAATGTGCCTGCAAGAAGAATCCGCAGCGCGTCCCTTCATGAGTGATGTGGTGACTGTACTGAGCTTTCTTTCAGTGGCTACAGAGGAGAAAATTCCCACTGCTCTTCCTCCGGCCATCTCATCTAAGTTAAGTCTAATCATTAAGGATGAAAGATCCCTAGAACTCATTTCCCAAGCTGAAGAAGATGATGATTCTTCCAAGAGTTCAGAAACAGAATCCGATCAAGAAGAGGAAGAGGAAGATGATTTATCACATCAAGAAGAAAGCGATTTTTCAAGTCGCCAGAGCAGTTGGAGATCTGAAGATGGAAGTGTTTCTTCTAGTGAGAAAAGCAGGAGAAAGTGCAGCAAGAAATCACTTTTTTCAATGAGTAGCAAGAGCAGCAAGAATTCAGATTATGGAAGCTTTTCTTCAAGCAATAAAGGTAGCAAGAGTTCAACGTACTCATCAAGCCACAAAAGCAGCAAGAAATCACATGATAGTAGTAGCGATGAGGAGTCACTAGAAGGCAATGCTTCTTTGCACCGTCGAAGCACCAAAAAGTCTAAAGGGAGCCGAAAATCAAAGGGTAAACCTCCACAGATGGATCGAATCAGCAGACGAGGATTATTGGAGGAAAGTGAATGCTCAACCTCAAGCCAGAGGAGCCAAAGGAAATCCCATAAGGTAAGTGCTTCTTTTGGCAGCATCAATAAGGGACGTGCCCATCTAGACCGCAAGAGCAGCGAAGGATCATATGATGGAAGTGTGCACTTGTCATGAGAACCAACATCCATCCTATTTCCACCCACCTCCATCATGCTTGCTTATATTTCTTATGCAATTTGCTCAGATATTTATAAGGCTAGGCAATGAAATGGCCACGTTTTGCTCCATATACCAACTTGAAAATTAAAATCTTTCTTTATTTTTTTTGTTTTGATTTTTAATATTTTGTTATGTGTCTTCGGGACGGGCAAGATCCCATATCTTGATCAATTCAAATCAAATATTAGAGCCATTTGAGAAACTTTGCTTTTGTGTGCCCTGGATAAGAGAAAGCGATTATGTATAGCATGGTGGAACTAATGAGGAAGTATGTTATTATAGTATGAGTTATCATATCATAATTCTATGAAATGCAATGGGTTGAATCAATTTTCAATTAAATGAATTTTATTCTTTAAGTTTGCGATTGGCTACGTTCTTTTTTTTTTTTTGGTAGAGCCTAGGAGGGGGAGAAGGGAGGTCGGGAGAGGGTTTTAAGGATTGGGAGGTCTCTTACTACAATACTCAAGACTTGGGGAGAGGTACACCTCCCATGGATATGAACTGAGACGGTGGATGTGTAGAATTGATCATTTTTAGGTACCTGGAGTTAGAGATCATAAAGGTTGTAATTTCACTTCATTATAGGGATATCTTTGGCGCCCCTTAAAGAAATGTGTTCAGAAGTAAAAATGATTTGAGAAAGGTAAGAAGGCATTCACGGTATGAGCCTAGTTCTCATGTTTAAAAGACTAAGGGTAAACGACATCAAGACTATTTGGTATAAAAGTTGGAATTCAGCCATTACAGCGCTAGCTTAGAGGGTGGCATAGAGAGGGTACGTAGTTGTAACATATAATGATAGATAATGAATAGTAAGTAGTAGATATTGATTTTAATAATTGTTTAATTATATATAATAATGGAAGATTATTGTTTATAATATTTGGAGTTTTCTTCTTTATTTTATCATTTAAAACAGTTTGAATTATAAATAGAGACTCTTTATAAAATTATTTAAAAAAATGTGTTTATCTAACTATTCTAAAAAATTAAAAAGAAATGGTTCAAAACAACATTATTTTTAAAGCAAAAATGAAAAGTATTTTGATCTTTTCACTTATCCTTTATTGACATACATAGTTTTGAATTTTTTTTAAAATTTAGTAGATAAATACTAATTTCATACTTTGAATTTATAGTCACCAATTTTTATCATAATTTTTAATTTAATCACTCACTTTTTACTTTTAAAATTTTTAAATTCAATCGTTGAGCTTTCTATTAAGTTTTAACAGTTAAATTGATCACTCTTTCTTAACTTACCATTAGCATTAAGTGATGATGAGGTAGTTAAACATACTACTAATTAAACGTAATTAATAAATTAAAAAATAAAATTATTTAAAAAATTAGAATTATTAACCTTAAAATAAGACTAAATTAAATTTAATTAAGATTTCATTTAATATGAGTGTAATTTTGGGTTAATTTTATAAATTTTGCAATTGATAAAAATCAAAAATAAAAATTTGTTTAAAACAAATTTTATCATTGACAGCCAAAAATATTTACTTATTTAATATTTATTAAAATTATTTTTATTCTTATTTCTTCAATAATATAATAATATATTGTGAAAATACATGAAAGTAAATGAATCTTTTTGTTTAAAGTTGTAAAATTTATTAAAACTAAAATAAAAGATTCAAAACTATAACTATAGTAAATAGAGTTTAAAAAAAAAAAGAAAAAGAAAAAGAAAGAAGAAGGAGAAATGCGAGCTACCTGCAGAGGAAGAGCCTCCTTTATCTACATTAGTTATCTTTATAAGATGTTCATGGGGATTTTGGAGGTGAAAATGAGGAATGTCATATGTGGCAGGCAAATTAAGTGGACATTAGGATTTCATTTTTATGATTTTTAGTTTTTAGCTGTAAATTTTATAAATTTTACAACTTTTAAAAATCAAAATTAATTAAAAATAAAAAAATACCAATTTGTTTATAATAAAAAGGTTACAACTAAAATTATAAATTTATTTTATAATTATAGAACTATTTTTGTTTTTACTGTTAGGAGTTTAGGGCACTATTTATGTTGTTGGATTAAGCAACTAGCTTGATAATAACATTTAAACAAGAGTTTAATATGTGAAGGCACCATCTTAAACTTAAAAAATTAACTTTATTAAATTCATAGACCTTCACATATCTAATATGAGATTCTATCTACTCACGTGTGAAAACACCCAACAATCTCCTTATTCACTTATAAGTCTTCAACATCTCGTGTCAATGCAGCTTTGTGAGCAGAAAGAGGACACCCTTACACTTGAGATCTACAGTGTTCCCCCATAAGAGTAACATCATCCGTTCCAAGGTTCGTGTAGTATCTTTACAAGGAGAAATCCTCACATCTCGGTACCCTACTCTCTCATGTACACTTACTTAACGTACATTACTTGAGTTACACACTCATCTTGACATTTTAATTGGGTGGAGGAATTTTTTGTCTCTCAACACCCAAGAAGAGTAGAGACACTTGCTGCTCTCAATGCATCGGCCCACTATATTACCCAAAGTTTGATCCTTCAGCTTTGATACCACTCTTAGGAGTTTAGGGCACTACTTGTGTTATTGGATTGAGCAACTAAGTTATCAGTAACACTCAATTAAAAATCTAATGTGAAGATACTATTTTGAATAAAAAAAATTCGCTTTATTAAGTTCATAACTCTCCATATATATAACTTACTAACTTTTCACTTTTCACTTCTAATACAAGTGTTTTTTTATTCATATGTGAACACTCAATATTTATTTCTATGGTAATTATTATAATAATTTAAGCAAAACTTTTTTTGTTTTGAGTTGCAAAATTTTATAAAATTTGAAAACTACAACTAAAGGAGCCTAAAGATCGAAGAAAATTTAGTATAGTTTAAATACTTTAATAAGCATACAAATTTTGTTTTGTTTTTATTTAA